GCGCGCCCGCCCTTCCCTAGCCCGTGCCGCCCGCGCCGCGAGCCCGCGAGCCTCCCCCAGAAGGGGAAGCCTGGCATCGCTCGGGCGTGTGCATTTTTTTCTCGGCGAGAACCATCGAGGACCATCTTGGACCATCGAGCAAAATGCACGGAAAATGAACGATCCTGGACCATCGAGCAAAATGCACGGCGAAAATGCATCGAGAACCATCCTGGACCATCCACGCACGAAGCCGAAACATGCACGGGAGATGGACGTCCGAGCGACGGCGAGGAAGGAGGGAGAGGCCGGAGACCAGGACCAGGACTATAGGGCGGTGGCCTGCCCCCGAAGAGGCAGGTCCGAAGACGGAGGGGGCACGGGGCCCATCGGCGGGGGCTGGCCGCGCTTGGCACGGCGGGGCAGGAAAAGGGGCAGCAGCAAGCAGATGGAGCGGCAGGGTGAGAGCGGAGAGTAGGGGGGGGGGGGGGGGGGCAAAAGGAGAGAGTAAGGGGGGGGGGGGGCGCAACAGAGAGAGAGAAAGAGAAAGCAGCGCGGCAACAGAGAAAGAGGGAGGGAGGGAGGGAGAGAGAGAGAGAGATAGAGAGAGAGAGAGAGCGCACCACTTGGGGCAGTGCCACTGTCCGGGCCCCTGAGCCATGCGTGTGATCTGCGGGCACGCCTCACAAGGCGGGATGCGCAGCGTGCGAAACGAGGGTGCTGGGAGAGCCTCCCCCGTGGCACGGACTGCTGGGGCCCCTCTGCGCCCCCTGTGCGGAGCGAGGCGCCGGCTTTTGAACGCGCGCTGGCGTGCGCGCCGCGGCGCCCTGCGAAGAGAGGCGCCGCCTTGGGGCATCCCCCGCAGCGGCCCGGAAGAGGCAGACGACGGAGCGTGTGCCACTTGTTCACGCGGGCGCATGTGCCAGATGTCCACGCGCCCCGAGAGGAGAGGCAGACGGCACCACTCCGCTGGGGTGCAAGGGCCTCCCCTTTTTTGACCCAAGGGCAGCAGGGCCCAGCACCAGCGTCCGTGCAAGCGCGGGCACCCCCGGCTCCGCCCGATCCCCCGCCGACGGCGCCAGGAGGCCCCACCAGCACAGCGGGCAGGCAGGAACAGGGGAGGTAAGGGCCATGCCACCCCGCGGCGCTGGAGAGGGTTTACACCCCCCGTGGGAACCGACTGCGGAAAGGGTGAAGAAGCCTCAATACTAGGAGCGCCGGTTTCCTAGACAAGCCACGGGCCCTCACGCGACGAAGCGCGCCTCGGACCGTGCAGTAGGTCCCGATCTGCCCGGTCGCTTGCCTGGTGGCGCACTTGCGGGGCAGAGGAGGCAACAGCGGCGCCAAGGGGCAGCGTGAGCCTTGGGATGGAGCAACCAACGGACTTGGGCGCCAGTCACTGCTCGGACGGCGTTGGAGCGTAGGGACGAGCGGTGTCGTCGTTGTCGGGGTACGTCGGTACCCAGCGCTGGCTACCTGGTGTAAGGTGTCCAGCCAGTTCAGGCGTCGGTCGTAGGCGTCTTTGCTTCCGTGGCGAGGCGGTGCAAGACGACGCGCCTGACCCTCGCCCCCTCAGGGCCGTGGACGGCGCCAAGAGTGTCGCCAAGGCAGATGGTGAGAGCATAAAAGTCGTATGCCAGAGTCAGTCGGGTGGTCCGATCAGGGTGCGTGGCATAAAGCGCAGCGCCCGTGCACGGAGCCTGAGGCGCTGGTTTGCAGTCGACGTGTCGGGCGCGATGAGGACTTCGTCCGCCGTCCCCAGGGTCGAAGATCGGGTCGGTCAGCGATCAGAGTAGGGTGAACCAAGTGAGCACCGATTGCCCAAAGTGCCCAGAGTGGGATGGCGCGACGGCCTGGTGAGAGCGGCGGCTGCCCTGGGCTGCGAACCGCCGTAGGAGTACGTTTGTCTGACGTACTGGGTTGTTGCCTTCATCGGCGGGAGGGCCTGATGGCGTGCGTCTTGGTGAGGCTTCGCTTCCGATGCGTGCCCGTCATCTGATGACCTTGGTTCAGAGCCCCGAATCATCAGGGGTAATTCGGGTCAGGGTTAACTCGGGTTCGTGTTTCGGGAATCCAAGCCCGTGTTACCCCGGACCCGAGTTACCCCGGATCACTCGGGCGCCCAGAGCCCCACATCATCGGGGGTAACTCGGGTCAGGGCCAACTCGGGCTCCTCTTCAGGGAATCCAGACCCGCGTCACCCCGGACCCGAGTTACCCCGGATAATTCGGGCTCCTCCCTCCTCCTCCTCCTCCTCCTCCTCCTCCTCCTCCTCCTCCTCCTCCTCCTGGGATGGGATGGGATGGGCGTTCTCGTCGGAGGTCGAGCAGTCCACGGCCGGCCGCCGACGGTCGCTCCACGGCGGTCATCGGACGGACAGGTCGGCGGAGGCGCCGCCGTTGCGGTATACGTCGAGCAGCTGGCGGGCGGTCGTCGGCGGTCGTGGACGCATGGGCCAGCCGGAGTGCTGGAGGAGGAGGAGGAGGAGGAGGAGGAGGAGGAGGAGGAGGAGGAGGAGGAGGAGGGGGGAGGAAGAGGAGGAGGAGGAGGAGGAGGAGGAGGAGGAGGAGGAGGAGGAGGAGGTGGCCACCCTGCAGAGGTCGGTCGTCGGACACTGGTCCGTCAGAGTGGCGGTCGTCGGTCGCCAGCGTCAGGGAGCGAGGAATCGCCGGTCGGACGTCGGCGGTCGTTGCGACGGTCGGCGGCGGGTCGTCGGCGGTCGTCGGGCGAGGTTGGGCGCCCACTCGACAGGCTGGAGCGCTCGCCTGGTCGCCCGGAGCGCCATCGAGGTCAATCGGTTAATCGGACGCTCGGCGGAGGGGTCACAGGTCACAGCTGACCGTTACGGTTGGACTGACTGCCGCTTGGGCCTGGTGGCCGTCGTGGCTCACGCCCCCGAGCGTCGGAGGGCGCTCTCGCGAAGGGTCGCTGTGGCATAGGTCGTGGGTTGTGCTTGTGTTTTGCTTGCTGGGTCGGTCGTCGGACACTGGTATGTCGCAGGGGCATTCGTCGATCGTCATCGTCAGGGGTCGATGAGAGGAATCGACCGTCGGCAGTCGGCGGTACCTGCGGTCTGCGGACGCTCGGAACGGCCGTCGTCGCGCTGGCTGTCAGCGGCCGGGCGTCGTGGGCTTCGAGCAGTCGACAGGCGGTCGTCTGCGGTCGTCGACGCTGGGACTGGCTGGAGTGCGGGCCTGGCGGCCACGCTGCGGATCGCCAGTGAGTCGGTCGTCGGACGCCAGTCGATCGGTCGACGGCGGGGCGCCGAAGAGGTTCTCTTTGCTGGGGGGGGAACTTCCAAGCTGGACATGCGCAGGTGCGCGGTGTTACCGCTTGTCAGTTGGACCACCCATCACCGGTTAAGTTCCCCTGTTCGGCCGACAAGGACGCCGTGGTGGCCCTCGATTGGTCTGCGCTCCTGGTTGGTAGCCGTTGCGGGTTTGCCTCCGCAAATTCGTGGTGGTACGGGTTTCGTTGTCAGAGGTCGAGCGATCGACAGTCGGTCGTCAGCGGTCGTTCTGGCGGTCGGCAGACGGTCGTCAGCGGTAGTCGAACGGACATGGGCGGCAACGCAGGTACTGGTTGGAGTGCTGGCCTGGTGGTCACTCTGCGGAGCGCGCCTGGGGTCGACAAAGACTCGGCATGGGTCGACACACTCGGCAGGGGGGTGGACCACATACCGCTTGAGCCTAATGGCCCTCGCGGCAGGCGTCCCTGCGAGTCGGCGGGCGCTCGCGCGCATGGTCGCTGCGGACTGGGTCGTGAGTTGTTGCTGAGTTCGTTGTCGCCGTCGACGTCGGTTTGTCGGCGTGGCGGACGTCGATCGTCATCCTCAGGGGTTGAGGAATCGACCGTCGGTTGTCGGCGGCTCTTGCGGCGGCCGGCGGACGGTCAACGGCGGTCGTCGGGCGGGCGGTCGCACCTCCGCAATCCTGACGTCCCCCCTCTCCGCATGGATACTCAGAAGAAGCCTCCGACCGAGACCGCACGGACAGCACGCCTCCTCCTCCTTTCTCCTCAGACGACGCCTCCGACTCCGCATCCGCCTCCCCCCGACGCATCCGACTCATGCAGACCTCACGTCCGCCTACTCCCACTCCTCCGCCCCCTCCTCCTCCCCCTCCCTCCTCCATTCCTTCCTCTCATAACTCCTCCTCCTCCTCCTACTCTCCTATCCTCCTCCTCCTCCTCCTCCTCCTCCTCCTCCTCCCCCTCCGCCTCCGCCTCCGCCTCCGCCTCCGCCTCCGCCGGCTGCGGCGGCGGGCGGCGGGCGGTCGCCGGCGGTCGCCATCGCGAGGGTCCGCGCCCTCTTCGAGGGCGGGCTGGGGCGCTGGCCGGGGCGCCCGGTGGCGCCGGCGGGGGCGCTGTCGGGCGCGCGGCGGAGGTCAGAGCCCCGAATCATCAGGGGTAGCTCGGGTCAGGGATAACTCGGGTTCCTTTTTCGGGAATCCAAACCCAGATGGTCTGGTACCGGAAATTTTCGGTAGCGATTTCGACGCACCCCGAATTTCGGTAGCGACCGGATCTTCGTTTGAGGGCGTTGAAATAGCGGATTTCAGAACGGTCTGATACCGATATTGGGCGCTACATTTCGGTATTTCGGTAGCGACCGATCTCTGCGGAGCGCTACCGGAAATTTTCGGTAGCGGACCATCAGGGAACCCGAGTTGCCCCGGACCCGAGTTGCCCCGGATAACTCGGGCGCGCTTTGCGGAGGGGTCGCGGTGGGCCGTGGCGGGTGGGCGGGCCGCCGCTAGAGCTTCAGGAGGGGAAACAAAACACACGGACACAATGAATCGTCGATTCCCCCGAAAATATGTCAAAATATGGGGAGTGGGGGGGAAGACAAAAACCCAGAACATATAGGTATAGGAAAATATGGGGGATATGTTTAAGTGTGTGTATTTATTTGTGTGTCCTGGGGGCCTTCACTACAGGCGACCCGCATACTAAGGATAGGCATCCCTCCCAAGGGTACCCTTCCCTGCCTTCTGGGTCCATCCCTGGACACTTTCGTTGGC